CCCACAGGCCACCAGGCCTGCTGCCCAGAGGGACGGAGTCACAGCCAGTGGCCGGGCAGCTGAGAGTGGCTGTGCCCATGGCAACGGTCAGATGAGGGGCGGGGCTTCCTCCCCACCTGGCCTCAGGTTTTTGCCCCAGGGAGAATTCCAGAAGAGCTTCACTGAAGGGCCCCGAGAGGGCGGGGCCTCCAGTCTCCGGGATGATGGCCAGCTGTTTGCAGGACCGAGGTGGACAAACCAGCTGATTGTCTCCAGCCACTGTGTCCCATCTCCATGGCTTCTCAGTAAATGTGGGGGGATGAGGTTTCATGGGGGGGCCTGCTGTCCCTTGGGGTGGGCTCCTGGAGGAAGACAGTCAGACACCCCCACCCTCCTGGCTGTGTGCCCTTAGGCAGGTTCCTTCACCTCTCTGGGTGTGCTTCCTCTCCTGTAGCTGGGAGGAATCCTTGAGGGTACAGCCCTACGCAGCACCTGGCATACAGCAAGTGCTGCATAAATGCGTACATGCTAGTCCTGTACTTCCCCCTTTTCTTCTCATCATGATTTGAGCCCATTCGTGGCACTCACTGGGGAAAGAGCAGAAAGGCCTCCCAGAATTTCTCACCCCCACAGCCGCACACCCCCGATCTCACCCAGGCGGGTGCTGGCAGGGCCTCCCTCATCAGGGGTGAGGGGACTGAGGCACAGGGGGCAGTGTCAGTGGCTGCTACAGGGGCTGGAGGGTGCGATTTGAATTCAGAGAGTCCTGGATTCGAATCCTGACTGCATCACCAGCAGGTACCTCGGGCAAAGGGTTTTCACTGGGCACAGCCTCGGTCTGTCCGTCTGCGAAAAAGGCTGGAGCAGACGCACCCCTCTGCGGGCTGCAGGGCGGAGGGGTCGAGAGGCTGGTATGTGAGGGGCTGCACGCCGGGGTCTGCAGGAACCCAGCCCCACATGACGGTTTCAGCCGCATCTGTAACTCTGAGAACCGCTCCAGGCCCCCAAATACCTGGACACCAGTCTCAGCCAAGCTCTGGGGCTGTGAGGCCACCAGCTGGGCTAAGGGGGTGCCCACGAAGAGACAGAGGGAAGAGAACAGCAGGGGGTGTGGAGATGGAGAGGAAAGAAGTTCCTGCCGGGGGGTGTGGGGGAGAGCCATGCGGGGGTGCCTGCAGTCTTCTGGACTCAGTGTTCCCATCTGTAAAGTGGAGACAAGAAAACGGGGACACTAATGCCAGCCTCGCGAGATTACCGGGAAGGGAGACGTTGAGTAGTGTAAGGGAGAGCGTTGGTAAACGAGAGCGCGTTCAGGAGGGGTGTGAAATGAGTCTCGGTGGGGGAAGCCTGGTGGGGACTATTGCCTGAGCAGTTACTGTGTTCCGGCCCCGCCCGGCCCTCAGCAGCACTATCATATTTAATCCTCCCAACCATGCGACAGAGGGGCAGTTACCATCTCCGTTTTATAGATGAAGAAGTGAGGCTCAGAGAAGCAGTGTTACCTGCCCGAGGTCACACAGCTTAGAAATGTGGCAGAGCCACACCCGGATCCTTTTGACTTCAGAGACCACGTTCTTTTCTTAAATCTTTTGTAAGAGCTTTCATGGACTATAATTCACATACCATACATTTCACCCATTTAAAGTATACTATTCAATGGTTTTTAGTTTATTCACAGATATGTGCAACCGTTAGCACAGACAATTTGAGAACATTTTCATCCCTAAAAAGAAACCCCAGACCCTTTAGGTATCAACCCTCCAAGCCCCAGCTCTCCAGCCCTGGGCAGCTATTCATCGCCTTTCTGTCGCTATAGATTTGCCCCTCCTGGACATTTCTTATAAATAGAATCAGACAATATGTGCCCTTTTGATGTCTGGCTTTTCTCACAGCATAATGTTTTCAAAGCTTCATCCATTTTGTAGCAGGTGCCCGTACTTCATTCTTTTTATTGTTGAATAATATTCCACTGCATAAACATACCCCGTTTTATTTATAATTCATCATTGAGTTGTTTCTACTTTTTCGCTATTGTGACTAATCCTGCTATGAACATTCGAGTACAAGTTTTTGTGTGTTTTCATTCCTCTTGGCTTTACCCTTAGGCGTGGACTTGCCGGGTCATATGGTAACTCTATATTTAACATTATGAGGAACTGCCAAATTGTTTTCCAAAGCCCTACACTGTTTTACGTTCCCACCGGCAGTGCATGACAACAGGATTCTCCACATCCTCGCTAACACTTGCGATGGTCTGACTTTTTGAGACCGTATTCTTACTGGCTACGCTACACTGTAGAGTCTGCTGGGCGTGGGTTCAAATCCTGCCAGCTGTGGGATCTCAGGCCAGCGGCCTCTCTGTGTCCTTTTATAGAAAATGGCGTCAGAATCTCTCCCTTCCAGGCTGTCAGGGGATGAGCTGGGTTTGTGGCAGCGTCAGGGCTATACCAACTGTAAAGTGGAGTGCACACGTCCTGTTTTCATAACTGGGTGCCTCGGGGGTGGAGGCAGGTGCACCAGGTATAAAGTCCCTCAGCTGCTGACCCATCTGGTTTACCCATCTCTCCCCAGCGCCTGGCACTGAGCCTGGCATACAGTAGGCGCTTGCTAAGTGCAGACCCTTGCTGCTGCCCAGGAACCTCCCTTCGAGGAAGTGGCCGAGTCCCCCTGTGGCGAAGGGCTGGGCCCACCTGTAGCCTCCACAGGAATCCCAGCCTGTGCTAAGAGCCTTGACATTTTTCCCTTCCCTAAGAGGAAAAGTTCTGTCTGTCAAGAGTCTCTTGTCCTTCCAGGGCAGAGGCTGGAGAGTTTCACCAGCAAGAAAAACAGTAAAATAATGGCATTTACATCCTAGCAGTGGCCCTTGTTCATATTTAGTAAAACCAGCAAGTGTTTGCTGGGTGCCCTGGGCTGCGTGCCTAACTTTCTCTCCTTCTCACCCCTTCCATGCAAGGCAGACCTTCATGCTTTCAATCAACCGGTACTTTTCCCCAATTTTTTTTTATTGCAGTAAAACACACATAACAAAATTTGCTGTCTTAAACCGTTTTTAAGTGTACAGTTCAGGGGCATTCAGTAATTCACATTGCTGTGTAGCCATCACCCCCATCTACCCCCAGAACTCTTTTCATCTTGTAAAACTGGAACTCTGCACCCATTAAACAATGACTCTATTCCCCCCTCCTTCCAGCTCAATCAAGCAGTATTTTTAAAGCACCTACTAAGTGCCGGGAGCTGATCCTACAGCTGCAAACAAGACAGACATGGTCCTGGCTTCGTGGACTAATACCCATTTTTTGAATGAGGACATTGAGATGCTGAGAAGACGCTCTTGCTCACGGCTCTCACCTTATCGGCAGCAGGGCAGAGTTTGAACCCAGGCATCTGACACAGAGGCCAAGATCCAGCCTCCTGGTCCAAGGTGAGCTGCTTCCTTGCATGGGGGCCTCAGTTGCCCCGTCTGTGAAATGGCGTCAGGAGGGAGTTGGGTTAGCTACGCTGACGCTGAGGGCTCATGCCCCGTCCCCCTGCCCTTGGAGAAGAGCAAGCACCATCAGGACCCATCTCCTGCAGTCCCCTCCATCAGCCTCCTGCTAGCCTGGGTCATCCTCATCATCTTCTTTTCATTTGAGAAGGGCCTTTCTGCAGAAATGGGCCCTAGACTACTTATGCCCATTTCTCCCCTACTTCCCCACCTGGCTCAGCCCCAGCTCCAGCCCAGGAAGACCTCCAGCAGACAGGCTTTCAGTCAGGGAGGGGTGAGGGCCCTCTGTTTACATTCCTCACCACCACCAGATAGCTGCCTGTTGGCTCTGCTTAAGATTCTGGAAACCCAGAGGGACAAGGGTCTCTTCCCCACCCCCTCATGGAGGGGGCAGCTTTTGGAGAGTCCACACTCCTCTCCAGGCCTCAGTTTCCCATCTGTAAAGTGGGCACAGTGATCCCTACCTCACAGCCTGGTTGGGAGGACAGTTTACTTGACACGCCCTCCCCCCACCCGTGCTCAGTGAGTTTATTATTAAGGTTTATTTTTTCATAAATGTCTCACACTGGTGGTTTGAACACATCGCTTCTGCTAAGGTTCTCTCTCTCTCCAACAATTCTAAAATTCCACCCTCTAGCTGCTGAGCCAACACCTCATGGCAGCTATTTCTATTGCAAGCTGAAGGGGAAGGACCTACTCCACTGTCTTACCAACCGGAGTCAGCTCGATTTAGTACAGACAGTGATAAAAATGGCTAAAAACGTTCCTTGGGCTCTGCACAGACCTGGTGCTTCTGGCATCTTCACCGCGACTGTGAGGCGGGGACCTATTTACACCCTTCTCTGCAGTGGGGACACTGAGGCACAGATGTGACGGAGCTGGCTGCTCCGCTGGTGAGTCACAGAGCCGCGGCTGGGGCTCCGGGAGTCTCGCTCTGGAGCTCAGGCCTCCTAGACTTCCAATCAGTCCCAGCAGAGGTGAGCTGCCCGTCCTGCAGAGGTATCCAAGTGCCTGGGGTGGAAGATGAGACCGCGAGGTGGGATCGCCTACTCAGCGGCGGGCCCCGTGCTCAGCGCTGGGTAAAGAGGGGGAAGAAACGGAGCTCACATTTATTTAGTGCCGGACGGGCGCTGTCTGTATCCCAGGTGCCTCCCCTATTGGACGCGGAGCTACCGGAGGGCGGGACCCACGGCAGACCAGGCTCTGAATTGTCTGCCGAATGAATGAATGAATGAATGGGCGAACGCATGGAGGAACCAGCCAGACACACATTCACAGATGAGGCCTCGGTCCCAGGGCGGGGAAGGCAGGAGCCCGAAATCTCAGGATTCCAACCAGTGCCCTCTCCAAGCAGCACCTGCCCCTCCATCCAGGGAGCGTGACGCCCATTTTCCGGGTGAGGAAACTGAGGCCCTCCCCTGCCCCGCAGAGGCGGCGATGCCGGGGTCGGGGGCGGCCGCGGGGCGGGGAGCAGCCGGGGGCGGCGCGGCGGCTGGAACTTGAGCCGGGGAGGAGGGGCGCGCGGGCGGGCCGGCCGGGATTCAGGAAGCGCCGCGCTCCGGCCGCCGGCGCCGCGCTGTCCGGAGGTGAGTGGGGCCTGGGCCCTCAGGACGGGGACCCCGGGAGGGACGGCGCAGCCGAGGTCCCCTCGCGCCCCTGGGGACGTCTCGGAGGCGCCGAAGTCCCGGCCCGGGGCGCGGGAGGCGCGGGGCCCCTCTGGGTGCCCTGGGGCCGGGACCACCCCTCTGGGCTTCAGTTTGATCGCCTGTGAAATGGGCGCCAACCTGGGCCCTAGAGTTGCAGGTCTTGGGGAGGGATGTCCCCGGATCCCCGAGACCCAAGCCCGGAATCAAAGAGTAGGAGGCCCTGCAGCCCACCGTGGGGGCATCCCCATTTGCGGGGCTTGGAAGCCGGAGTTGGGGGCCTGCGGTTTACCCTCCACCTCTAAGCAAAGCCTGAGGGACTGGGGAGTCTGGAACTTCTAAAGGCGGCTGATTTGTTACTGAGTCCAGAGATGGCTTTTCCCCAAGAGGCAGGAAAATCTTTAACCTCGGTCTCTGCTAGGCGGTGGAGACTCCTGGGAGGTCCCTGAGGCCAGGGAGAGGCCTCCCACAGTCCCCACTTGCCTGGAGATAGCAACCACAGACGCGTGGATTGAGCCACCTACCATCCCCAAATGGCCCAGTCCCATCCGGTCCCTCCAGCGTCCTCCCCGTTTTGCAGACGAGGAAACTGAGGCTGAGGTCTGGGATGTAGCCAAGAGGAATTTAAACCCAGAGCTGTCTGGCTCCAAAGCCATCCCGGCCTGGGGACCAGGGGGTGCCCTGAAAACTGCTGGGGAGGGGGTGGGCCCCTGGCTGCTCTGGCTCAGCGTCTAAACCAAGGGTCTCTGCTGGGGGTGGGGGCGTGATGGCGTGTGCGAGCTTTGTTCTGGGCCGCTAAGAACCACCGGAGGATTTCAGCTTTGCCACTGTATCTCCGGGGCGAGGACAGGGGGGTAACTTGGGGACTGCCCTGGAGGAAGGTGAAGAGGTGGCCTCTTGAGAGAGGTTGGGAGGAAGGGGCAGGCCCAGGTCGTCTGCCAGGTTAGAAGCGGGGGCTGTCTGGGGCTGTGGGGGGGAGCTCCTGTGTAAAATGGGGTATACGGAGGCGACCCCGAGGCTGTGGTGGGGAGCCCGGCGGGCCTGGCGCACACTCAGAGCTCAGGGGGCGCCGGCTGTTACCCTGCTGGAGCTGGTGGTGGTTGCCCCAAACACCTTCTTAGTGGAAGGGGTGAAGAAAGGTCATTGGCCATTTCCACATTTCTCTAGTTCATTCTGTTTGCATAACGGCGGGAACCAGAAAGGCTGGGGACCCCTCATTCTCACCTTTACTGGTAAATTGGAGCCGGGAGGGGATCCCCAAACGAATGGCAAGTGGTCGTTGTGGGCCAGTCAGGTTCACATTTGTAAAACCAGGGTGGGTCATTTTGAAATGGAGTCTTCCCAGGTTTAGGGAAAAAGGAAAAGAAAATAGTGAGAGCTGGGAAGACGCCCGAATTCCCCAAGCGAAATCCAGACCAGCCGCCTTGTATCCGGGTCAGGGGCTGTGGACGCTCCTCCCGCCTCATGTGGTGTGAGCTGGGCCTCAGCCATTTACTCCTTTGCCCAGCAGACCCCCTGGAAAGCCCACCTGTGCCAGCCCTGGGCTGGGCACTGACGCACCTTGGCCCCAGCTTAGCTCCAGCCTGAGGGGCCTGAACTGGGTGGTCCAAGAGAGACAGCAGGATGGGAGGAAGGGCTGCCCCCCCACTGCCACTCCCTGACACTGGGATTGCCCCTTGTGCCACCTGTGGCCTCCAGGCGGGCAGCACCCCGCCTGACCTGTGGGCACCCAGCAAGGTGAGCACGTATGGCAGATACTTGACAAATGTATGCTGTGGAATGAATGGGGGCCAGAAGAGAATGCTGTAGGGTGGGAGAGCAGACAGGGAAGGGATCAGGGAGGGCTTGATCAAGGTGGTGTTTGAGCCCCACCTCGAAGAAGAAATGCAGGTGTAGGGGAAAGGGCGTGCAGGTAAAGACCTGACTTTTCCCTGTTACCAGGTGGGTAAACCTGGTGTTTGTGGAGCCGAGAGTTGTTCCATTTGTCTGGAGTATGTGACATAAACAGTCAGGGCAGGGGTCAGACAGGCAGAGGCTAGGTCAGGCCCAGAAGCCCTAAAAGTCCAGGCTGGCTGTGTGGTCTGGAAAGGTCCCTCTGGCTGCAGAGTGGGAGCCAGGCAGGGAGGCCGGTCCCCTGGCTGAGAAAGTCGTCCGTGAGAGAGATGTAAGGCCCGGGGTGGGCAGTGGAGGGGGGCCCTGGAGGCAGAGGGAGGAGGGAGAGAAACACATAAGACTTGGCCTCGCTGCCTGCCACTCAGTAAATCTCCATTGCACAATCGAGTGACTGAACGCATCATTTTTTTTTTTTTTTTTTTTTTTTTAAAGATTTTATTTATTTATTTTTCCCCCAAAGCCCCAGTACATAGTTGTCTGTCATAGCTGCACATCCTTCTAGTTGCTGTATGTGGGATGCGGCCTCAGCATGGCTGGAGGAGTGGTGCCTCGGTGCGCACCCGGGATCCGAACCCGGGCCGCCAGCAGCGGAGAGCACGCACTTAACCGCTAAGCCACGGGGCCGGCCCTGAACGCATCATTTGAGAGGGCCTAGCCCTTTGAGCTCCTCTTCTGTTCCTGGGAGGGGGGATCCACATGGAGTGGGAGTCCCTACCCCCCACATGCCCCCAACCTGCTCTCTGCCTCAGTTTACCCCATTTGACTATGGGAAAGACGCTCCAGGCCCCTTTCCAAATCATGGGGACCCAGGGAACAGCTCCTCTTCTTGTGACACTCAGGATCCAGGGAGCCAAGAGAACGCTTTATGCCAGCAGGCCCTCTGGAATGCTCCACATCGCCGGTTTGGAGTGGAATTTACCTGTTAAAGATTAATTCAGATCTCTTGAGATACTTGTGGTCCTGGGCCCCGCAGCTGCTGCTCTGAATGCCGGGTGCAAGATTCTGTCTGGCTTTAGCCAAGCCTGGCTGCATTAGTAGTCATTATGATGGTAGTGAGCATTTACGGAGCACTTACTGTGTGCCGGGCCCTGAGCCAAACGCTCTTAGTACATTTGGATGCAAAACTACGATTCCACCCATTTTTGAGAGGGAGGAACTGAGGTCTGGGTAGTGAAGTCGCCTGCCCAGGGTCTCTTAGCTGGGAAAGGGCAGAGCTGGGATCTGGACTCCGTTTGTCTGATTCCCAGATCCGTGCCTGTAACTTCCAAGGTGGCCTGTCCCCATTGTCTGGACCCCGAGTCATGGGGAAGACACTCTGCAGTGTAAAGATAAGCTGAATTGCTCAGACAGACCTGGGCTTAACCTAGGCCTGTTGCTCCCTCACCAGGGAGCTCAGGCAAGTCACCTGGCCTCTCTGAGCCTCAGTTTCCTCATCTGTCAAATGGGGCTCTCAGTTCCCACTGCAGGGACCATCCAGGGCACACAGGTGGGGCTCTGAAGCACCATCTTCTTCCTCACTCTGTTCCCCGGCCTGTTCCAGGGCATGTTTTCCTCCCGCACATCCCTGGGGTGTGCTCTGAGAGCCCCTCTGTGCCAGGCAGGCAGGCAGAAGGGGGCAGGGGCAGATCCAGACTTGCCTTTGGACCGAGGACGGTGCCTTTTCAGCCATGAAATGTTTACAGGCATCAACTGAGCGCCAGGAGCCGTCAGTGTTTCCTACTTTGCTGATTTAATGCTTAAAAACTAGAGCCGGAGCCTGGCTACCTGGTTCCTCACTCTTTGGGCCTCAGTTTCCTCATCTGTAAAATGGGATATGATAGCTCCTGCTTCGTGGAGTGGGTGTAGACTGTCTCCAGCGCAACATGGACTGTTTAGCTTATAACCAACGTCTGCCACCCGATGTTCACTTCGATGGTGTCACAGCTTCCCTCCCACTGGAGGTGGGCGGGGGCAGGAGTCCCATTTGGCAGCTGAGGAAAGCGAGGCTCAGAGAGAGAAGCGGTTTACCCAGGGCCCGTGGCAGAGCTGGACCTGGAAGCCAGATCCAAGTGATTCTGGTCCCCTAGGGTCCCTGAAATCCCAGTGGCCAGCTCAGCTTCCTTCCTGGAAAGCCACCTTGGACTCACCTCTGTTGGAGTCTGACCCACCTCTGTTCACATCCCAGCTCTGCTGCTCCCTGCTGTGTGACCTCAGGAAGTGGCTTAACCTCTCTGTTCCTGGGGCTGCCACCCGGGGTTTGCTGGAAGTCAGAGCTCTGCCATCTCCAGGGGGATTCAGGTTATTCTGGCTGCCACTCCTGCCCCGGCCTGGATGCCCCCTGCCTTAGGTGTCCTTGTGTCCCGTGAGCTGGCACCCTGGAATGAGGAAGGGAGGCCAGGCCCTCACTTTCACTGTGACTCTGACTTCCTTCTTGCCTCTGAGCCCCTTCCTGGTCATTATCCTCCCCTTTCTGCGCTGAGTTCTGGCTGCTGCTGGCTGTGTGACCCCAGGGAGGTTACTCCACCTCTGTGAGCAGATTTCCTCATCGGTGAGGGAGGGTCACAGAGACCATTCCAGGGGCCTAGGGAGCCCTCCATCAACGCTCGTGGGTCTGCTCCAGATGAGGTCAGAGGGTGGGAAAGACCACAGAAGGAGGTGGGGGCTCGGGCACAGACAGGCGGGCCATTGACGAAATGGGAATACTCTTATTTATCCTGGGGTGGTGAGTAACGGCCACCCCTCCCGCCCACACGCCCTGCCAGCCCCCTGTACAAAGAGCTTCACAGTCTCACCGGGCGTCTGTTTTTCCCCAAGGGTGGAGTGGCCTGGCTTCTACCCGGCTGACCAGAAGGGCTGACCACCCTCTGGGACAGCTCCTTGTGTGTGTGTGTGTGTGTGTGTGTGTGTGTGTGTAAGGGGGCCCCGCTTCTTACACATGCCCTGGGCGGGCCCCACGGGCTCAGGGGAGACCCCAGCGGGCAAGGGGCTGACTGACCTCAGCTGGGGACCTGTTGGCCTGGTTCACGCCTGTGTCCCCTTAGCACAGAGGAGGGGCTCAGGAATACCTGCGG